GTTTTAGGAGATGGTCAGTCAGGTGTGGCCACAAGGAGAGACCGAGGAAAGACTCTGAAAAACAAGTATACTCATAGGTACCAGAGACAGAAGGCATGGAATACTACACAGACTATATAGACACCAGGGTAGTCAGGAGTCATAAGGGGCAGGACTAAGAGAAAAATTTAAATCAGAGACTATATATAGGTATATCTTTAGAAAGACAAGACAGGGCAGCACAAATAGTTCCTGATTGACTAGTTTGAATAATTTCTTCAGACTGTAAGCTATAGAATTGACTCCTGGTACCTGGTTTTGGGATAATTAAGGCAGAGGAATCTTGCCTCCTGGGGTGTATGGCTCAAACAGAGGAGATCTGGATTTAGACTCATTCATTTGCATATCAGAGGCATGCCCCTGACTAGTTCTGAGAGGTATTTGTAACCTCTAAGAATTAACTTAGAGGTTATGTAGTCTAGCTAGGGGCAATCTCTCCCCAGCCAGAAAGGTTTTGTGGAGTTGTGAAGACATCATAATATATTGGGAAGAAATTTAAATTACATATATATTACAGAGCTCTTTTGTCTAGCTAAGAGGTCTACAATGTACCCACCACCCTGAGGCCATCTCTTTGAGATTTTTTTTGCTGAGTGGAGAGATCTCTATATTTCCTCTGAATTCTGCAGGAAAACTTAACAGTTCTGTCTTTAGTTCATCTTTTTCATAACACTCTATATATACTATGAAAACTTTGATCACTGCCCTAAAATTGTCAGCCAGATCCTCAGGGTCATTAGTTATATTTTTATTTTTTGTTTTACAGCAGGTGGTAGTGTTGCCAAGCAGCCTGGTCTTCTTGATTTGAATGGCCCTTCTGAAGACCCCAAAAGCAGTTTATTTACTGTGCTTCTGGCCTTGAGGACTAGGATGAGATTCTTGCTTTCATCACCACCCAGTCCCCAAGGCAGTGCTGCATGGCTTTGTCTCAGTTATCTATTGAAATGTAATAAACAGCTTCAAGATATTTTCCTTATTATTGCCTATGATTCTGTGCGTTGGCTGCACAGTTCTTTGACTCCAGTAGTACCAGCTAGATTCATTCCCTTGATCACACTTGGTTGGGAGAGTGGCTGGGGCTGGGCTGTCTGAGGACTGGATGGTTCTCCTTCTCCTCATGTGGAGTCTCATTATTCAATAATCTAACCCAAGATTCAGGCAGCTGGATTCCATGAGGGTGAAAGTGAAAACTATAAGACCTCTCAATTTCAGAACACTACTTTTGCCACATTCTATTAAATGAAGCAGGTGACAGGCCAGATTCAGGAGAGGGGCAAAAGACTCCTGGTATAGTGTGCATGTTTACCTGAGGGAGAAAATGTTGACAGTGGACTTTGGGAATCATCTACTATAGCAGATTTGATGGTGTGAGGTAGTTTAAGTTGTCTTTCCTTAGCCCTAGAGAAGACCAGCCCTAAGCCACTGAAAGAAACAGGAACTGCAAGCCTTAATTGACTTAGAAAGCCGTGCAGTGACTAGTATAGGCTGCTGCATATTGAGAGCTTCGGGTATCTACAGCTCTGTACCAACCCATATACACCACCAAAAAGCCATGTGTGCCACCACACAATAGGAAGATTTGAGTTTAGGACGTGGTAGTCTAATGATCTCTTTTCTAATATGCTATGCCTCAGGAATGCTGGATTTTTCTTTTCAAATATAAAGTGACCTTTATTACTCCCCTCCTTGTACCTCCACCTCCGGATTACTATTTCTCTCTGACCTTTACCTAAATCCTGCTTGGCCACTAGGATTCCAGAAAACAACCTAGACTTGGAGTTGATTGTGTTTGGTGGTCCTAGTACCCTGCAGCATTCCCCAGAGGTGCCCAGTAAACCCATTTGCAGGATTCAAGGGGATTCTATAGGCTGAGGCACTAGAGGAGTCCTCTGTACGTCAGTTACAGTGTGAGGTGTGAGGTGGTCCAAATACCTGGAGCAGAGTCACTCAGATGGCTTCAAGGCAAACTGGAATCCCTACTTGGGTGGCTGTGGACCCTTCTTTAAGAGAGACATAATCTTCCAAAACAACCTAAGGACTTCTGGCTTTTCTTTGTTTTTTTTTCTTTCTCTTTCCCTCTGTCCCACCCTCCCTTTCTTCCTTCCTTTCTTCCTTTCTTTATTTTAGTGCTACTGGGGATTGAACCCAGGGCCTCCCATATGCTAAGCAAGTACTCCACCATTAAACTACATCTCCAGTCTTTTTTAAAATTTTATTTTTTTAAAAAAGTTGTTAAGTTGCTAAACCTGATCTCAAACTTGCAGTTCTCTTGCCCCAGTCTCCCAAGTAGATGGGATTACAGGTATGCACCCCTGGGCATGATTTTAACCTGACCTTCCATGCTAGTCCTTCTGGTGTGAACTAACTCTTTTTCCTCAGAGTTTGGCCCTGGATATAGTGGCAACTTTATTACCTGGAAGAATATAAGAAATGCAAACTCTCAGCACAAAACCCAGCCCCACTTGAATCAATCTGCATTTTGACAGGAGC